TCTGCATTGACGAGCGCGTGCACAGCGCCCTCTGCATCGATGAGCGCACACAGCGCTCTCTGCATTGACGAGCGCGTGCACAGCGCCCTCTGCATCGATGAGCGCACACAGCGCTCTCTGCATTGACGAGGGCGTGCACAGCGCCCTCTGCATCGACGAGCGCGTGCACAGCGCCCTCTGCATCGATGAGCGCACACAGCGCTCTCTGCATCGACGAGCGCGTGCACAGCGCCCTCTGCATCGATGAGCGCGTGCACAGTGCCCTCTGCATCTACAAGCGCGTGCACAGCGCCCTCTGTATCGATAAGCGCGCACAGCGCCCTCTGCATCGATGAGCGTGCACAGCGCCCTCTGGATCAACGAGTGCATGCAGAGCGCCCTCTGGATCAACGAGCGTGTGCACAGCACCCTCTGCATCTACAAGCGCACTTACCGGTCGGGTCGTCGAGGTCGGTTATCTTCACCACCAGGTGGAGTACGCTGTCTCCTTCCGCCGTGCTCAGGCGTCGGTCGGGTTTCACGTAGAGGCGGCCTCCGTACGGCTCGACGCCGACGTAGAAGTTCTCGCGCTGCGCCGAATAGCGCACGTCCGAGCGCTCGTCGGCGCCCGACGCCCCGAGCGTGCATCCCGCGATCGTTCCCACCGTCGTCACGGCGACGTCGCACACCAGCGGCCCTTCGTCGCTCGTCTGCCGCTTCAGTCGCCTCGCGCTGCTGCCGCCAGGGGGCGCCTGTGCGGACGAGAACGCGAGTCGGGCGCCCACGCCGCCGCGACCCGCGTCCGGACAGCGAGCCGCCATGACGGGTCGAGCGTCGGCGAACTTGACGTCGTTGGAAGTCTCCGGAAGGAGGACGTCTTCCCAGTCCTCCCAGAGCTCCTCCGGTCTCGCGACTACGTCGCCGACGCGCGCGGGGCGCGACGCGGTCATCGTCGCCGGCGCCACCTGCCTCGCGGCCATCGCGACGCACACCACGAGGATACACAGCGCCGCTGGTCGGTCGCCTAGCGCCATGTTGGTAATATCTCACCTGCTGCTATCGAACAAGCAGGGAATTTAAACGGGTGCAAAAACGAACCCGTCTTCTTCTCTCTCTCTCTCTCTCTCTGTCTTCTCTCTCTCTCTCTCTTTACTCCAAGAAGTTTTGTTGAAGTGTTCTACTCCTAGCCTTCTACGTGGAAAGTTCTTGAGCTTGCGTGTCGGAATTCTAGTCTATACCCGTACGCTACGTGGTTGCACTACATCCTAGGTCGGCAGTCGTAGTCTGCCAGGTAAACGATACGTCACGTCCGACCACTACTCTCTACGCGTCTGCAGCACAGTTTCGTTCGTTGTTGTCGGTCAGAGAGGACGGTCGTAACAACCGAGTAGGCACACACGCAATTCACTCCTCGTTGTCGATGCTTTCATTGAATTTCTATTTATCAACACGGTGAATAACGCACAGAAACACGCCAACTTGCCACGGCGCGACCTTATCTGTATCTAAACTACCGAAATTGGACTTTAACCCGGATATTTTACCTACAAGCCGGACTGTGACGCGTCCTCGCACCTGAGCAGCATGCGCGCCAGTGGTTTGTAAACACACGGTCACGTGGATAGAAACTTGCACGCGAGCGCAGCGCCATCTGTTGGTAAATAGTTCCGAAACGTGTTTGAATCGGCTTGGAGTTGGTTTTATGCAACTGCTTACCGCCATCTATCGTCGTTTATGTATTCATAAAGTATGTTTATGTGTACCCACCGACGTTTAGTGAGTGTGCTCCGTGTTCTCTTGATCTAATAGTGTTTAGATTTTGTACATTTTCATTGGTAATTTTCACCACAAACAGGGAACGATGAGCGAGAGTGGTACTGGTACTGGTACTGCTAGTGCTACTGCTAGTGCTAGTAGTAGTAGTAGTAATCGTAAAACTACGAACGTGACAAACGTTCTGGAATTCATGATGCTAGTGGGTCAACTAAAGGTAAGATCGAGCTATCCTCTTCGCTTGAGAGTGATATGTTGTCTATATAAATTACATGCCTGATCACATCATCCTGCACGTCCAGATGAGACGGGATACTAGAGAAGCGTTGCCGAAAGGAGATGTTGATCCCAATTGCGCTGAAGCGCAGATCTTTCGCGCAGTTCCGCGGCAAGGCGCACGCGACCGCGG